TTTCTTTTATTTTTTTTGTCCTGAAAGGTAGATTGGATGGACTTCTGCTATGGTACCTATACCCTTCGTTATATTTGGTGGTTTGCCACTAGATATTGTGCATAATCTGAGTGAAAAATGATACCTATTATTTTAGTTTGCTCAAGCTGCAATTTTGACTCCTTCTACTGCAAAAAGGACAATAGAAGTTATGTGACTCACATTGTCCATAAGAGAAGTTTATACTAGTTCCCTGGGGGAAGCAGGACCCCTGACTCCCATTCTTGACATGTATTTGGTACTATTTTATTCACCTTTGTATCTCCAGCATAGAGTTCAATGCTTGCTCCATATATTAGATGCATAATTTTATGAGCTTAAAAAAATAGAACAAAGGGTACATATGGGGTAATGGGTAGAGGCATGTTTTCTGAATCCTGAATCAAGATACATGGACTGACTAGGGATTTTTGTGCCATTTTCAGAAGTGAGTATAGAAATGATGAAACTTGTGGGGTATTTTGATGGTTTATACAGATGGCAAGTCAGGATATTTGGAATTGGGACTATTTGGGGGGTTAAGTTGTACAGAAATGCTTAAAGGGAACCAGGCATGAGGAGAGATGAACTGTAGGTAGCCGGAGGCAAAACTCAAGTCAGTTTTTGAAATAGACGAGTTGAAAATAAAGTGTGAAACTTTGAATTAACCAGCAGCCAGCAAACGCATTTTCTCACTGACAGCTCAGCAATGATAACATTCCCCCATCATAGGTCTCGCCTTCCCTTCAGAAAGCACATATGGGCTTGGCATAGTAAAACGAAATCAAATTCCCAGAAGTTTCAGTAGGGCTATATGCTGCTACTTTTATAGGTTCCTTGTTCTCCCTCAAAGCCCCACTTCCTCAAATGCAACCTCTTCCTCCTGTTCCTCTAATCTGGATTTTCGGATCAGTTGCCATCCCCCCACCCCCACCCCAGTGAATATCACCTGAGCTCCTGTGTATGTCGGGCCGCTATGTTGCTGCTGCGGGATTCCCAGCACTCATGGAAGGGAAGCCATGCGATAGGTGATTACAAGTTGGGCAAGTGTGACTGAAGGGGAGGGGCGGAGTACTTTGGCATCATGGGGCTGGGAAACCTGATCTGGTCTGAAGGGTCCTGGAAAGCTCCCTGAGCAA